GGGGGGTTAATTTGCAGATAGTCTTTAATATAGAATCTCCCTACCTGGGGCACAGGCAGCAGTAAAATCCTGACAGGGGATCTAAGCCTTTATCACATTATCCAAAAGTAAAAAAAAAGTGGATACACTAAAGCTATAAGTCATTTTTAAGTTTGCATAGCATTACATTTTGTTGAAAGCAGTAAGAACAGTGCGAAGATTCAGCTTTGTATAGTGCATTTAACTGTGTTTTATGTTACTTTGCCTCCTTGTAGGAATTAGCTTTTGATCCATATGAGTCATATGCTCAGGATATTCTTCGACCAGGTTTTCATGATCACTTCCTTGGTCAACTATCAAAGCCTGGTGCTGCTCTTTATTTACAGGTAATACAAGCTGTTCATGGAACAAGTTATAAAAGTATGTTTTAGCTTTGTACATTTTCTTGTAAAATGCTAGTCCCTGTGTTCTGTGTAAATGTGTCTCATGTTAATCAAATGGTGTTTGTGCTGAAGGAAACACAAAGTACAGAAGGAATGTAGGACAGATCTTCTCACTGCCCTAGGTCAGCTCCTTTGCGAGGTGGTCACAGTCGTTGTTCCAGAGGCAGAAAAGTTTCATGGATTATGTTTGAAACAATTTCACTGACCTCTGTAGCTGCAGACATCATGGAGCAAATCATCCTCAAATGTCACACCATAGGCACTAAGGTTAAGCAAGTCTGCTCGCAGAACTGAAGAAACAGCTCACCATGCCTGCAGCCACAGAGGTCAGTGAGGGCTTGTTTTAAAGTTAATTTACTGCTTTGTTTTCAATATATAAATACTTGATTGTACATAACCTGGCCACAAGTTGCTTTTAAACCCTTTCCCTGCAAACGATGTAAAGCATAAGTCAGAATAAAACAGTTTCCAGATGGCCAGGTCAGTATGCCTTACGTTGCTGGCGTTCAGCCTTCCGCTATAAGCTCATGATCCAGCACCATAATCTTGTAGAAGGCTTCCCCTGATTCTCGTATGTAAAGGAATAGGTGTCATCAGCGGCTAACAAGCCTTTGCTCTGCAGCTCTCGTCCCCGCTGGGAGCAGACTGCATGCTGAAATCTGTGTCCCCTCTGATCCCTGCTGCTCTCTCCCCCGCCTGTATCAGCAGAGGCAGTTGGAATCAGAGGGGACACCAAGCCGATCCAGCGCCCAGGGGGGGAGGAGAGACCTGTCATGAGGACAATTGTGGTGGTGCGGGCAGGAGAGCTCCACTCCGGTGACAGGCGGGATGGGACGAAGCAGTTCAGGATGGAGATCGGAGGATCAGTAAATATGTGAAACATTTACATTTCCTTCCCTGTGCAGCATAAACACTGAATGAGCAGTACTGTAATCATTTACTATGTCCTCAGTTATTTAAAATTGTTCACAATTATGAATGCTATACATCACTTCCTGTTCATTCATGACTGGGAACATAGTAATCACTTACTATGTGCTCAGTTTATGAATGAACAGGAGCTTCAGAGGCTTCCTGTCCATTCATAACTGGGGAGAGTACTATGCCTCCTCAGTTTGTGAATGAACAGGAAGCCTCTTTTCATTGAGTGCTGGGACCGCAGAAAAATAGTTTGAGGACTCTGTGTCCTCAATCTTTTTTTCTATTTCAAAAGCGAAGCATCAGGGGTCTTTTATGACCCCAAATAGTTCCCCGAAGCCCCTGACCGTAAAGCAAAAAAAATAGATTTTTTTTTTCCATGTACAAGTACTCAGATGCAATTACTGATACATTTTTGTTTATTGTCATGTGAGAGTTTTTCTAAAATATTGCAGACTGATGATTTCAGGACAGTGGGGGAGTACCAGAGCCAGGTCCCAGCTGTAACCACTGAACCCTGATTTTTCTTGTGAAAATGCCAAGTATCGGCACTGGTATCAGAGCAGCCCTAGATTAATTGGATGCCTGCATCTTTTTTTCACAACACACAACGCACAAATGGCATTGCAAATTAGGCGTTGCCACAACACAGATTTTTAGCACAAGTTTCTTATTTACAATTTTGCATTCCTTTGTTTTTTACCATTTGGCAAAAAGGCGCAATTTAAAATTTACAAATATTTCTTTATTAACTCAGTACAGTTTAATGTTTTAGATGTAGTAGGAATCTTGTAAATGATGGCGTTTTTTGTTTACTGATAATTATTTTAGTGTGTTTTAGAGAAAATATTAAATTGATAAACATTTGCACGGGACGATCAGTGACCTACAAAATTAGTAGCACCATCTTTTTGTTCTACTGATCCTGTGCTTTCAGAAAATGTATGGTTTGGGGTGCCTTTTACAAACTAAAAGCTGCAGGTAAAAGTAAAACATTTCAAAAATGGATTTATTATTTATTACAGGTATTTATATAGTGCCGACAATTTACGCAGTGCTTTTTATATTTGCATATTCACATCAGTCCCTGCCCTCAAGGAGCTTCAATCTAAGGTCCCCATCTCACATGCACACAGGCCAAACTAACAGCCAATTAACCTTCCAGCATGTCTTTTCGAGTGTGGGTTTGGCCAGCTGAGGTTTAAAAGTGTTAACCTGCCCATACACCTTGTGATCATCGGACAAAACTTTTCATCCGATGATCGAACCGTCATACGATTTTCGTACGGCGGCCCCGATTATCGCAAGGTTCAATCAGCTGTAGTTTAAAAAAAAAACACCTGGATGAATTGCGGTAATCGACCGCACGTATTTTCGTTTGCGCATGAGCAGTGTTAATCGTATAAAGTTTGACGTATGGAAACGCCACCAACCTTGCGAAAATCGTACGATTGACCAAAGTTTTCTAACCTGCTGGATAGTCAAAAGTCAATCGATTGTACAGTATTTGCAGTTGTACATTGCCCATCAACCTTACGAATATCGGACGAAAACACGGTCGCATACGCAAATCGGCCGATATTCGTAAGGTGTATGGGCACCTTTAGGCACGGCTTGGCAGCGAAAGGATTAAAGGGAACAGTGTAGAATTCAATGGATACTAATATCCTTTTTGTTTTTTTTTTGCTTTGCTTTGCTTTTCTTTTTGTTGGATTATGCTTGATGTATGATGAGGAAGTTGCATATGTCTATATCACTGTAAAAGGAAATCTGATTTATGGAAACACTTGGAGGGAGGGAGTAATTGACACAGACAGGTCATGGCTAAGTAACCAGACTTTTGACTGGTTGCAATGATGTATTTGAAACCAATATTCCCTCAGTCAGTCATTCTGTTTTATATGTTATGGTCAAAGCTTTTTCAATGTCAAATGATTTTTTTTCATGTTGCTTGCAGTCTATAGGTGAAGGTTTCAAAGAAGCTGTGCAATACGTTTTGCCTCGGCTACTTCTAGCTCCTGTTTACTACTGCCTGCACTACTTTGAATTTATTAAGGTAAGGGGGGGTTAGGGGTTCTTCATTAGTAAATGACAATTTAATTTAGCTCATTGGTTTACTGTGTAATGTTTCAGTATGTCATTCTTAACTAATCTTAAAAAATCAAATTTCTTTATCGTCCATTGAGGGACACAGAAAATCACAAACAGTTGGGTATTAAGCCAGCTCCTGTATAACCCCTCCACTACCCAGCATGTCTTGGATTTTTGCTAGAGTTCTAGGGGGTCGGACACCTTTTTTTACGCACTGGTTTTGCTAGCCTTCCTTGGTTTGTGGACATTTTTTACTCAGTGACTTCAATTAAGATTCCTCGCTACACCACTAATTGAGCTGACCTCTTTGTAGCAGCTATCCAGATAGGTGTTTTCTCTGAATAAGTTTTGGAAGCCATAGCTGGACCCCATTGAGTTTGGCATACAGGGCAAGCCTGGAATGTGACCTTCAGGCACTGCATTGTTGTACTTTGCAGACGTTTTATGTATTGTGTTAATTGGCCATGAAGTGTTTTCCAGGTATGGCCTTGTCTTTAAAGGCTCACTTAGTGAGGAAGACCAGTCAGGCTTGCACTGCTGGGCGCCATTTTCCAAATTTCCCAGCACTTCTAGTTTTATCATGGTAAAAGTTAAGGCTGAGGGATGGAGTGCTGACATTATCCACTAGATGGCGAACAAGCACTTTCTGCGATCTCTTTTCCACTATTCAGCCTAGCGGAAGTACCATTCTGCTGCTGCTTCTGCTCCTGAAGCACCAAGTGAATCTCTGTGTTTGGCCTGGTTCCACTTCCATTGACTTGGTTACCTCTGACTGCCTGAAACCCTCATCGGCACCAGCTGCCTGGGTTTTGAGTACTTGCTTCACATTAGGCCTAGTTGCATTACTGCTACGCAACTGCAAAATGTCTTCCCAAAGACACACAGAGGACAGTTCCAGTGCCACCGTGAACTTATACTTATACCATACTCCTCTAGCTGTTATGGGGCCATTTACCCAGTATTCCTAGAAGGGACCAATGTCTGCAATCTGGAACCAAAGACCCGTATTGTTATAGAGTCATCATCATTGGAGTTACCCTGAGCTCCGTCGGTTGTGGCCAAGCTATGCCACAGGTGGCCAGAGTGTGCTTCTGTCTTAATGCAGGAGGTTGGCAGAGGGGTCAGAGGAAGCCCACCCTCCTATTTCATCTACTTTGGCACTAAGTAACCATGGACCATCAGAGCCTAAGCCCCAATCAACCCACAGTGCTCAAATTCAGAGGTTATCTCATCTCTCTGATAAGCCTTCTGCATGAAGGTGCTCCCCCACTTCTGGAAGTGGGGGGCTGTTTATATGTCCAGATGGGTCCTTTGGTATTTGGCCTCCCTGGCATTTGGGTGCTTTGTAACACCCATTTTAGCCCAGAGGCTAGCTCCTTCTGGCTTTCCCCTCAGCTGTTCTCACTATGTTCCTTGTCGTGTGTCTACCCAGATCTCCCTGGATTCCCTGAACCATGGGACCCATTGTTCCTGTATAAGTGCAAACTTGGCTTTGGAAGTTACTCTCCGCATGGACTTGCACTTTTTGGGCAAATCCTATAGCCTCGAATAATGTTGAACCCCTCTTGCTATGTGACGCACCTCAGCATTCCCCATCCCCGAAGGGACCCCATGACTTACAATGTTTGGCCGGTACCAATCAATATTGATCCCTTCTGCAAGGAAGACTTGACTCCTTAGTATCGTTCAAAGGCACCTTCTATTTCTGGAAGCACTAGAACCTATGCCCACCATGGTATCTTCTGGCATCTCCATTGTGGAATGTTTAGATGACCTTCCCTAACAATGGTCCGCTTTCCTGGACCCTTGCAATCAGTAGGCCAAATCCGCATTGATCTACAGTCTCCCTTTCCCGCTCCCCCTATGGAACCCACGAGATCTTCGACCGCAAGTCCTACTCTTGGTAAGAGACCGGGCCGCAAACCTTCGGCCCCGTTGAATAATCCTGTAGACTCATGCGGCTACGGTCCGCCTGTCTCCCCAATCCCGTCGCCGGGTCTTCGGGGGTTTTGACTCCACCTAGCTCGCCCTCCTCTTGGGCTTCACCCGGCCTGGCAGCCGAGGCTGCAGTTGGCCTCCATGATCTACTCCCGTGCCTGTCCACTAAACCACGGGATATGGAGAACATAATAGTGGAGGCACCTAAGAAAGAGTTACAAGATCTCGCACACCATCTTACAGCTGTTGATGAACGTGTTTCCACAGTTGAGGATGCCAAGTCCTGGCTGAAGTTTCCGGAAGATCTACCAGAGAACAGCTCTCTTCCTCCTAGAGCCCCCCATAGCGAACAGAGTCGCCTGCGCTTCTCCCAGCGCGGCCTTCCTGCTCCAAATTGTCGTGAACTGTGAGATATACCTTTTTGATTCTGTGAAAACTTTGTTTTTCTCTTCCCCCCCAGCATCACTTCCCCCCTGCATTCTGCCTTTTCTATTTGGACTGCAGCATCGACAGGTGACGTTTCATTTCGCAGGCTCAGTTTTACCTTCTGATAGTCAGGGGCTGGATATGTAGTGTATTGCTTGTCTTTCCTGCTACCTGAATTTTACCTTTGCCCTCAGATTTACTGGGGGGGGGGGG